GCGGAAGCCGGATGTCGCGACGGCTTCGCCCAGGCCGTAGATGTTCGCGTCGAGCGGAAGTGCAGACGTCAGCTGGGTGGCGTCTAGTCAGTTACCCCTGGGTCGTGCGGAGCGATGAGACATGCCTGCAGATACCGATCTTCGAAGACTAGCTGAAACCCATCAAGCACTTCGCCGTCGAGCGCTTTCGTGGGCGCTGTGGGGAGAGATGACAAGCGCGTGTCGAACAAGGTATCACCCGTGGCCTTTCGGGTGATCCAGAACGCGAACGGGGAAGGTTCGTAGTTGAATGCGAGGTCAGAGTCCCCCGCGGAGATCTCTTCACCTATCGGGCGCGGGAAGAACTGCGTGGGGAGTCTGAACTGATGGGTGGCAGTGTCTTCGATGACAACGTGGAGACTTGGAGAGCGTGAGAAAACGCTGTGGGTGTAAGAAAGTGGAGGCTGACCGTGTCGGCGTCTCGTAAGTCACCATCACAGTTAGGTCGTCAATATCGGTCCCAAAGGCGTTGCACGGTGGACCCGCGAGGCGAAGGCGCGCGACCAGTCCACTCGACGCCTCGTGGATATCGGAGAGCATATATCCTGTGAAAAAGGTAAATCCGCAGTAGGGCATGCGCAGTCGGAGGGGCGAGTGGTGCACGAGAGGGGTGCAAGCCTCGACGGACGCCGAGAGGACTCAATGTACGCACCCGGACAGCTCGACACGTTTTTGGAGTAGCCATCGCTCCGGAAAACCGAGCTGCGCAAAGTAGAGAATAACCCGAGCACGTACGCGAGCAGTGCGGCGAGCGCGGCGAGGCCGAAGACGCTGCAAGTCACCACCCGATGAGCCAGGGAAACGTACTCAAATCAGCGGAGACCACAGACTATGTCGCGCGTGCAGCGCCCTGCTGGGCGGGCGAGCGAGACCGTACGCCGATCTTTTGCTCTCTATTTTTTGATGGTAGTAATGAGGCCATGCTCGCGGTGCTTCAAGCTTCAAGGGTGGTGGAGCAACACCGCGTCCGAGCCGCCCAGTCTGGTCCTGGTAGGGAGGAAAGAAAGAGCGCTCCGGGCGCCGTGCTCAAACACTGCTTTCTTATAGGGTGGGATAAGTGATAGCTTGTTCTGTGAATGGTACGGCAGAGGCGCACCGCGGTAGACGTAAGAGGCAGGGCGCATGCGGGAGAAGAGGGCGACTCCTCGCGCGCTCGCGCTAGACGCGCCGTCGGGCCCTCGGCCCGGACCGACACGCGTCTGCCCCAGATTTTGCCCCACGCACTGCGCGCTCCAGCACCGTTCAAATATCTGCGCGGTTGGTCCCCTGCGCGCGCGTCGACCCCCCGCCCGCGCCGCCGCCAACGACGACGACGGCCATGGCATCCATGTTCAGGGCGTACAGGTGCGCCATCGTCTACATCCCGGCCGCCCGACACTGATGTCCGCGCAGTTCATTCCTCCTCCGCCGGCCTGTCCTCGGTTCTTGCCTTACCTCCGCAGTCCTCTTCGGCGCCGGCGACGTCGCTGCTCAACAAGCCGTCGAGCGGCGGGGAACAGATCACGACGTGCGCCCTCTGCCTTCACTCTCGCTGTCTCCGCCGGCCGTGCTGATGAACCGCAGCTCGCGCGCACCGCGCGCCTCGCCTTCTACGGCGGCGCTGTGTTCGGCCCACCCGTCGCGACGTGGTTTGGCGTACTCGGCCGCCTGCAGTTTACCTCGCCCGCCAAGGCCGTCGTCTACCGCACCTTCCTCGACCAGACCCTCGCCGCGCCCGTTATGGTTGGCGTGTTCTTCTCCGTCATGCCGCTGCTCGAGGGCCGCGGCCCCGCAGAGTCACAGCGCAGACTGTCCGCGGTGCGTCACGCCTGTCTTTCCCCTCCTGATGAGCTGCGCCGGTTGAACTGGTCCGTAGAACTACGCGAACACGCTCATCGCTAACTGGTGCGTCTTCCTCCGCGCCGCCCTTTCCGAGTGCGCGCGGTGCTGACTCGCGTCTCGCAGGGGCGTCTTCGTCCCAGCGCAGCTCGTCAATTTCTCCGTGGTCCCGCCACAGCTACGCTTTGTCTTCATTGGCGTCGTCTCCCTCTTCTGGAGTGCGTATCCGTACCTCTTCCCGTCTTCCGTACCACCTGACGACCCGCACCCAGACACTTACCTCTCAGCCGTCAATGCCGCGCAGGCACAGTCCAAGAAACCCCTGACGCTTGGGGAACTCTAAGCACTATACCCACATCTTACTCTTCTTTGTAATGCCGTAGTGCGCCTATCCTGCAGTGAATCTATAGAGTATCATAGACAGCATCGTACACGCTGAGCAAGCCAAGTCTCACCTTGAGACCGCATGGTCGCCCGTGAGACATGCGTTGCGCCGCCCAGGCCGTGACCCACGCGATCGGACTGTCTTATGCCAGAGTGGCACAGACACACGATCTGGTAGATCTCGGACGGTGGCTTGCGCGGGCTGTGGCGGGCTATGGATGTGGCGAAGATGTGATCAAAGGCAAGGAGAATAGGATGTGCCGAACATACGGTGGTTTGAGGTATGTGGGCAGCGGACATTACGGGAGCATTGGGACAAACTTGCCTGTCCTGCTGGCTGTATTTTGATCTGATACACTCGATGACGGACTACTAGCTCTCTAGAAAAAGAGACTAGGTCTCGAACTCGTATGGCCATCGTGGGGATCGAACCCAAGACCTTCGCGTTATTAGCACGACGCTCTAACCAGCTGAGCTAGACGGCCAGCACATATTAAGTCCCACATATTAATTGAAACCTGCATAGATGCAAGAGATCAGGAGCAATTCAACATGCTCATAGTTGACCACGGTACAAGTGGCAGCCGTCGACTATGTGGCTATGAAAGCAATAACTACTTCCACGGAAGTCGATAAACAAAACCGGACGTGATGCCATTGTCGTGAATATTCCCACGGGTTGAGGACAATAGCGAAGCGACAAAAGCCAGGCACGCGCCTTGTCCACCCGCCCGGCCACCTTCGCTATTCAGCCCAGCCCGATGGGCGAGCGCGCTATAAAACCTATCGCCCCCGGCGAGCCGACACTCCACCCCGTCTACTCTTGACGATCTCATCCGCCTGCTCTTGACGAGCTTTCCCGCTTTTCCTTGTCTGCCTGTCCGTTTGTGTGCTTGACCGTCTGCCTCACGTCGATCGTGCTTTCACGCTCCCTCCTCTCACGTTCTCCCGCTCTAACAATCAACGTATCATCATGCTCTCTAACCTCATTCCCATTGCCCTTGCACTTGCGCCTCTCGCCGCCGCGCACGGCTTCCTCGGCAAGATCGTCATCGACGGCAAGACCTACGCCGGCAACGAGCCGGGCACCGGCAAGGGCACGCCGTCCGCCATCCAGCGCGTCGATACCATCGACCCGCTCAAGGGTGTCGACAACGTGAACTTGCCCTGTGGCTCACACGCGCAGCCCGCGGCACTGCATGCCGACGCCGCGCCCGGCTCGAACCTCTCTGTCTTCTGGACCGACGCCGGCGGACAAAACTGGCCGCACCGTGTCGGCCCCGTCATGACGTACATGGCGGCATGCACAGGCGCCGCAGACTGCGCATCATTCAACGCATCGAATGCACAGTGGTTCAAGATCGACCAGCTTGGGCTCCAGGACGCACAGAGTGGTCTGTGGTGGCACAACGAATTCAGTACGTCGCTTTTCCCTCTTGTTTGAGCTCTAGCGCATGCTGACCACGCGGACGCAGTGCAAGGCCGCTCTCTGTCGATGTCCATCCCCGAGAACATTGCGCCAGGCAACTACCTCCTCCGCTCGGAGATCATCGCGCTGCATCTCATGCCGGAACCCAATGGCGTCGAATTCTACCCCGCGTGCGCACAGCTCAGCATCGCCGCCCCGAACACCACTACCTCGTCCACCACATTTGCCTCTTTAACACCGAACGCAACGGTCAGCTTCCCTGGTGCCTACGCTGCCAACGACGCGGGCATCTTCGCGCCCGGCGTCTTCGACACGCCCGTCACATACACTTTCCCCGGCGGCACGGTCTCCAACGTGCGCTCGGCATCCGATTCGGCTGGCACCCGCGACCTTGACGCGAAGACGACGAAGGCCGCGTCCGGTACACAAGTGCCGGCGAGCCTGACTGCTTCGGGTGTGCAGGCGCCAGCGAACACGACGGCCTCGACGGGCGCGAGCGCAAATGGCACGGCTACGAGCGCCGGCGCGCAGCCTTCTACGAGCAAGACGTGCAAGATGACGCGCCGCGTGCATGCGCGCTCTTGGCGCTTCGAGTGAGCGACGCATTATCGCCGAAGCTCCCCTTTCCTCGCCGCTCCTATGCGCGCGGCCCCTATGTCACCTCTCTCTGCGTCCCCTCCGGGATCTCCGCGCCCCTTTGCTTCTCACCCCGCCCTCCTCACATCCCACATGACCCGCCGAGCCTGGCGCTCGCGCACGCCCCGACCACTGTATCGTTAGCCGCTCACGACGCGCGACGATCCGCACGCTCTTTTCTCCTATCTAGCACTTACACGGCTCCGCATTTTTTTCGGGCTTCCTCGGCAAAGCATGTAGCATAGATTTGGGTACTCTACTGCTCTGGCGCAGGGCACTTTCGTTGTAATAGTCCGTTCGTCGGGCTGGTGTAGCGTAGTAATTGATGTGTTTCCCGCCGGTTTTGGAAGCGCCATTTGGAGGCGAGTCGTCGTAGCTCCACAGACTAACAAGCCTGCAACGGAAGAGCGCGGGTTGGATCACACAGGGATGGCTGGCTCGTCTCCAACTACCTCATATCCGTGTTGTTGCCACGAGCCACACCATACTGTGGAGCCGCAGGTCGAAAAAAATGATGATCGTTACTCGACCCGTCCTCCACTACTGCGTTGCGGCAGTGTCCATGCCTGCACGAAAGCGGTCAATATCCTCACAGGAATTCCCCCACCATGTGTAATGCAGCCCAGGCTCGATCATCAAGCGTCTGCACTCTTGCTTCTGTTTCTGGCTGCAAACAGGCACAAGAAAACAATGACAACCAAGATCTGTTATGAACCCAAGACCTTCGCGTTGTTAGCACGACGCTCTAACCAGCTGAGCTAAACGGCCGACCCCCTTGTCTATACTGTAGCCTTGCCGTGACACGGAGCTCGTGAATTCATACCAAATTTACCCTCTCTATCTTTCTCCCTTCCCTTTTTCACAAGCCAATCCCACACAAAAAAGGTGCATTGAATTTCATTTTCATTGATTGGGTTGCGTGGAGCACATCCAACAGAGCAACCTGCGCATCACCGACGCGCAGACGAGACAGTAATGTGACAATCCAGCGCGCACTCGGCGCTACAGCAGCACGGTCAGTCGAGACGTACGTATGGGGAACGAGGCGTAAGAGGCCAGCGGCGGCACACTGTGCCGTCGAGTAAGCGATCCAGGCGTGAAGAGACGATGCAGGCGTGAAGAAACGATACAAGCGTGAGCGAGATAGGGAGGGAATAATGATACATGTCACGAATCGTGAGGGCGGCGCAGCGTTCATGCGGAACCGTGCGCATGCAGATTGTGCGCGACGCCGCGGTGCCGACGCACGGCCTTCGCGCGGCGGTGCTGAGCTTCCTCGACGGCGCGGCGGTGTTCAGCCTCTTCAACGGCACGGCGTCGGCTGCGCTTGTTCTTACACACGCGTGAGGTTGATGCGCTCGCGGATGGCGCAGCGGGCTTGGGCGCGGCCGTTGTTGTCGCGGAGACGTCGACAGCAGCAGACGCAGACGCAGACGCAGATGCGGGGGCAGAGGCAGCAGTCTTGGTCGAGGACGGCTTGGCGGCGGATGGCTTGATAGAGGACGGCTTGGGGGAGCTCGACGACGCAGAGGAAGACGAGTTCGACGCGTGCGAAGAAGACGACGAAGACGAGGAACCGCCACTAGTGAGCGTAACAAGGGCCGGGCCGGGGAACTGGTACGTGAAACCGGGGTTGTAGATGTTGGGCACGACGATGCCGGGGTCACTGTCAGAGTATGCGCCGGGGAAAGAGACGGTCTGGGAGGGGACGCCGGTGCCGGAGCCGCCGACTTTAAGCTGGACGCAGTTCGGGTAGAACTCGGCGCCACCGACGGTGACAGCGTTGTGTAGAGCGATGAGCTCGGAACGCAGGAGGTAGTTCCCCGCCTTGAGGTTCTGCGGGATGTTGAAGGACACGGGCTTGCCGTTGTCTAAGACAAATGTGTGAGCGGGAACGCTGCGCGGTAGGCGCGAGGACGACGTACAGAGGTCGGCCATGTACCACGTCGTGCCGTCGGATTTGAGGCCCTTCTGGTCGACCTTGAACCACTTGGCGTTCGCAGGGTCGAAGGTCGTGCAGTCTTTGACACCAGTGCACTCGGCCATGTAGGCCATGACGGGACCAACCTCGTGGATCCAGTTGCCGAAGTTCTGGCCGACCCAGAGAACGTCGACGGTAGAACCAGGCTGCGCGTCTGCCTGGAGTGCGGCGTTCTGGACGGGCGAGAGCCCGCAGCGGAGGTCGGTGTTGCTCGCGCCCTTGACTGGACCGACGTCGTACGGCTTCGTAGGCCGGATAGCGGTGTTGGCGGGCGAGCCGCCGTCGCCAGTGCCCTTGTGCATGACACCATCGATGGTGCATTGGCCGAGGAAGCCGTGCGCGGAAACGCCGACAGCGAGCGCGAGTGGCGCGAAAAAAGAAGTAGAGAAACGCATCGCGTCAGGAAGAAGCTAGGGACTGGTTGGAAGTATGACAGAGGCCGAGAAAAGACGGCAGTTAAAAAAGAAAGGCGGGTGCGGAGGAGGCGTGGAAGGTGCGCGAAAGGCACGGCGGAACGGGGAGGAAAAGGGAGGGAGGAAGGGAGAGGGAGAGCAAAGGAGGAAGTCCCAAGAAGGGAGGTTGGAAAAGCAACAACAGGCGCTTGCCCTGGTTATATGGCGCACTGGAATCAGATTCATCTCGCCCGGGAAATCAGCAAAAAACAAAGATCACGAGTCCCCTCGCGCCACTGTTGTCGTCCTTCTTAAACCTGCCTCCGTCGTTCCCCCAGAAGACATAATAGCAGCCTTCCACATTTGTTTCGCCTCCCCGCCAAGCACCCCGCGACGCGGCCTGCACGCGAACAAAAGGTACGCAGAGAGCTGTGCGGCATCGCGACGAGGGAAAGATGAGATCCCATCTGGAGGCGTCTCACGCGGTGCGCGCCTGCGTCGGCATGGCCCTTCCGATCGTCTCTCCATCATCATTCTGTCGTCTCCGTTCTTCTCTTTTTTGAGGTGCTGTAACCGTGCGATTGATGGACACCGGGTTAGCAATGGAGGCCCCACTCTGGAGTGCACCCTCCATCTGAACGTCTCAGCTCACGCACTCTGCCTTTACGGACCTTGCCGCGTCATCCTCCGTCTTACAGGGCGTACACGTGCATGATCCCGCGGGCAGCGCGCAGGATCGACGCCATGAAAAGCTTTGATAACCTGTGCATGAGCACGGGGCTGCACGCCGAGTGCGCATGCTCATTGCCCGCGCACAGGCTCGTCAACATGACCGGCCCCGACCACTTCATCCCCTTCTACCTCGTCTGCGCGCGGAGGAGAAAAGCGAGCACAACGAAACCATTATTATTGCAAACTGAGACTGCCGTGGCTACGAGGTGCTGCGTGTTCTTTAGATCCGCTTCCGCTAGATCGCGCGCTCGAGGATACTCCCGTCCGCGCTTGAGGCCATGGAGAAACCTGCGCTTCAGCAGCGATCAAACAACCGCATGAAAGGGTGCACCTTTACCACACGCCGACCCCGTCCTCCTACGCGCAGGAACCACGCAACTCGCCCGACGATACGGCATACCACCGCAGCATCCCATCGGCGACGGCGACGATGAGGGCGTCGTGAGCGTGGGTTTGACACGCTCTGGGAGCTGCGACGGTTCGTCATCGGATTCAGCATCGGCGACACTCGAGTAGCCGTTGTTCCTCAGCGGCGACGACCCCCGCCTTAACCGTCGCCCGCACCATCATCATCATCATCCACCCACGTCTTCATCAGAGCTACCATGATGCATCCATTCTCATTTTCCCTCATTCTCTTGCGTGCCTTTACCACGTAGAAACGGCATGCGTCCACGATCTCTCGAGTAGCGGATGTTTGTCGCACGTCCTCCATCTGCACCAGCTGAGCAAGGCAACAGTCTCCCGGCACGTGCTGTGGGAGTAGGCCATTGTTGTATTTCCTCGTGTGCCCGGGACCGCCGAGCTATGGTCGTATCATCCTTAAATATACGGATCACTTCATTTTCCGGACGAACGAAGCAGACTCCGCGGAGGCCTTGGTGTGGCGAGTTACGGCAAAGCAGGGCGACATTCACGCACTAAGACGGCTATGCTGCATACCTCTGCACGCTCGCGAAACAAGGCCCGAACGCCTTGGACGCGGAGCACGAGTTTGAGCACGATCTCTGGACACGATGCGGGAGGGTCCGGCGCGGAACGCCCTTCTACATGGCAGCAGCACGCACGCTCTCCCGCTCAGTCCCTTCCAGCCTCGTGCGCAGGCGATCCATCTGCGCCATCAGCCCCGCGTAAGACGCCACGTCGCCGTCTTCCGCCACGGTCGCCAGGTCCGCACGGACACGCCGGAATGCCTCGACGAGTCCTGCGGGTGGCGCGTGCGCGTCGAAGACCGTGCCGAGAAGAGCTGCGTCGTCCAGCGCGCCCTGCACACAATCCGCGACCATGTCTGCGCACGTTCCGCGGTCGACCGGGTCCGCCGCCCTGTGCAGCATACCGAGCGCATCGTCTACAAGTGCAAGCACCACGACCGTACCGCCCGCGTGCGTCACAATCTCCTCCTGCGTGACCCTCAAATTCCTGAGCAGATGCTCCGGCAACGTGCAAGGCGTGAGCGCGCGCACGAGACGCTCATAATCGGCGGGTTGGTGCGCGTAGGGCGCCGCGGCGACCCAGCGGAGCAGGTCGAGGGCGTGGTGAGCGAGCAGGACGCGCGCGGTCGGGTGTGACGCGTGCTGCCAATGGGCCGGCGCAAGCGCGCGCTCGAGTGCGGGCCCGAGCGCAGGACGCACGTAGAGCGGGAAGAGAACGTCGCGAAGGACGGGCCTGCGCGCGGCGCGCTGCAGGGCGAAGCAAAGTCGGAGCCAGGAGCGCAGGCCGCGGACAGGGCCCGCGCGCGGAAGGAGCGCTTGTGCGAGCGTGAGCAGGCACGCATGACCGGAGAGAATGGCGTCGGCGGCCGCGCGCGTGGCACCGCGGGTGGGTATTGAGTTTAGGGAGAGGGAGAGACCATCGCAGAACGCGGCTGCGTCGGTAGGTGCCATCGGTGTGCTGCCGACGACGTGAACGAGCGCGTAGAGATCGGAGGGCTCGATTGCCCGGGTGCCGACTGTGCGCTCGATCGTGCGGCGCGGGCCAAGCTGGAAGCGCCACGGTCTTTTAAGTCGGAGGCTCTCCGGGCTCGAGGAGGGAAGCTGGGGGCGTTGGAGGCGCGCGATACTGACGGCCGTGCCGAAGATCCGCCAGAGAACCCAGCTAATTGGTGTACTGTAGGGTGATTCGAGGCGGACGAGCGGCGATATGGTCAGCACGGCGAGGTACGTGCCAAAGAGCGCGACGAAGACGGCTACGGTCACCGCGACGGTTGTGTTGATCGGGAAAAGGAAGTCGACGAGACCGGCAAGGAAGAAGAGAACCGCTGCGTGCAAGAAAGAGGGTATGATACCGACGAGGTCATCTATCCGGTACCGTTCCAACCCGCTGAAGAGAGCAACGCGAATGCGCCCTTGAAGACCCGGCACATCCTGCGGGCGCTGGGACAGCTGCATGTAGCGGCGACACCAGGTCTGAATCATGACTGCAGTGAGGGCGACAAAAAGGCTCATGCACAAGCTTATAAACCAGAGAATGTTCACGCGCACACTGGGAGTCGAAGGATGGAAAGTGGGAGGAGACGAACCGCCGCTCACAGGGCCAGAGGTCCCATTGAGTTGTGCAGATATCTGAGCGAGATAGAAGACCATGCTGTCGTTCGAATTTGGTTGGAGAGATTTGTAGCTGTCGACAAGGAAAGTAGCAACCGTGGCTGCGAACAAGCCAGTCTG